AGCAGGCAACTGCTGCGGCTCCTGCACCAACACTCAAACCGAAAATCATGGCAATCTTCAAATGCTTGAACTTCATTATATTTTTGTATGTGGAATACAGTATATGAAAAGACTTCTGAAGTATATGAAAAGAGTTCCTGTGGAATGTGAAGAATGAATTTTCCAATCATTACATTGAAGATGTCTTATTAAATTTCATCGAAGCACGATGATCACTGAAATGGAATCAATACACATAATTGTCCGCCCAAATTATCCGCATTGGGGGATGTTTTGTACTCGGAAGACCGCCAGCTGCGTGGAACACATGTTTCGTACTCGGAAGACCGCCAGCTACTGAAAGGTGCCCCCTCCTTTTAAATGAACCAGCGTACTGAACCAGTGTGTGGCATCAAGCTGGGTGGTAATAAGATAAAGGGAAAACATTTTTAAAATTATACAATTTCAGGATATGGTTTCCGTACAATAATGAATGGCAGTAGCTGGCCCCCATTGTTAAAAAAAAGGGTGGTCAGCATTCCCCGACAGCTTAAGCCGGCTTAAACCTCTTGTGTCGTATTCTCATGGTTCACCTTCAGTACGCCAGCAAAAGCCAATCTACTGATTTCAATTTACTGATACCCGGCGGCAGAAAAATGAAGGATTGAAAGGGCACCAGAGAGGATTCCAAAGGGCTAATCCCTCGCGTCATTTTAAACGTGCCTCGTTTACCGGATACCCCCAGAAATACTTGAAGCTTTTACACACAATTGGAAACTATTTATGACCCTATCAGGAATAAATTTAAAACACCAACAATGTCAATCACAAATTAAATTTTTTTAAAAGAACTCCATTCTCTGCGCGCAGCCAAAAATCGGATGACGTCTCTGGTAACCTAGCTGTAAGCCCCTCGTCACCAGCAGCAGTCACAATAATGGATGATTCATTGTGACGGTTCTGCTGGTTCTTGTTTCCTGGTAACGATTCTTCCGAAAAAAAGGCATTCACAAAATCCTTGGCTGTTTCACTTGCACAAAAACACTTTTTGTGAACAACGCACTTCTCCAGCTGCAATGACATTTTCCTGGAAGGAACATGTGTACACTTTTATTGCTATTTTCCAATACTGTTTCTTTCTGCCAACCTTACTCTCAGTTCGTGGAACACAACATGTGAAACGTAGAAAATTTAAACAGGGCAAAGAATGTTCCCCTGTTGCTGACATCCTTCTGGCGCCGGCTAGCATGGTACGTCTAGACTCATTTCAGGAATATCTGGATATGGTCTGATTCATGATTAATGTTTATAATTATACATTTCTTCGTTTTTACATCCCCAATTGCTGTTAATAAAGGTGAAGGAATAAGTGTAAAATTTTTGAGTGTTACGCTCAACACTTCAGAGAATATTCATAATACTTGTGAAAAATACGTATAGAAAAGTAGCACATATTGTATTTGTGATTGAGTTTATAATTTTGTATGCTATTAATGCATAACTCATGCTTTGAAAATTTAGAAATGCCGTTGACAAGATTTGTTGACAATTGATCATTACATTGCGCCATTGTGTGTTGCTCCTTACAGTATGATTCAACTTTGTAAAGCAATTGTACCTTGAGTGATCTTACGTAACGTTGTTTCAATGTTTTGATACGTAACGTTTTGTCATTGTGTGCTGGCACTCTGGTGACAAAACGATTAAACAGTAAAGAGTAGAGTGATGACGTAAATAATATGAAAATAAATGTAGTAGATTAAAAAATTAATTTAAAAAACCACATTTTGAAAAAGATTATAATTTTGTACGCTATTAATGCATAACTCATGCTTTGTAAATTTAGAAATGCCGTTAACGAGATTTGTTGATGATTTATCGTTATGTTGTGCCGTTGTGTGTTGCTCCTTACAGTATGATTCAAATTCGTAAAGCAATCGTACCTTGAGTGACCTAACGTCGTTTCGTCCACGTTAAAGGTTATTTTATCCTTTTTCAAAACGTCGTTTTTTAAATTAATTTTTTAATCTAAAATGTATTCTATTTCATTCGTATTTCACTTCTTCGCAACAATCACCATGCGCACCACGTTAAAGGTCATTTTTTCCTTTTTCAAAACGTGGTTTTTTAAATTAATTTTTAATCTACTAAATTTTTGTGAGCTTCTTAGTCTTACTTGAAAAACGTGGTTTTTTAAATTAATTTTTTAATCTACTAGAATTATTATTTTTTTTTTAAAATGTAATTTTTCTTTTCACAAAAAATTGCAGTGTCATCAGTTTCTAAGAAAGAACCTGAAAGTTTAAGCTTGCTATAGCTAGTCGGGAAGTGAGCAAAATTTGAGTTGCAAAATTTAATCCGGACAAACAAACGGACAAGTTAATAAAAACGAGTTAATAAAAACGTGTTAATTAATTAGTAAATTATTTCATTCCTTAAATGTGTTACAAAATCTTAAGTTATATAAAAACACTGCATGCTTCAAAACCAGAGTTCTTCGTGTATTACACTTTTTACGATAATGTCAATTTGTAAGGAACAAATTCAACGTATTTCTCACGCTCTTGCGCTGTGCGCTGTGTGCTGGACATGTGTTCTTGACGCCTCGAATTTTACGACAGGCGGTAGAAATTTACGACAGCGAGGGGGCCCCCTCTTCAACTATACTACACATGTCAAAGACCCCTCTTGGAAATCTGTTAATTGCTAGAGTTGAAAAGCTTTCAGGGAAACGCTTTTATTTGGGCGAAGCCTGCGTGGTCTACTCTGTATGCTGTTCGACGATGTTTGCAGTGTCGCTGTTTTCAGAACCCGATTTCGAACCTTGGTGTGGGTTCCTGAGCTAGTCTGTTCAGTTGTGGATGTAATGAAGAATAAGGTTACATCCTAACTAGGACGGGCAAGCTTCGGAATCTGCAATAGGTTATGGGTTTCTCCATTAACTTATGTGGTCAGCAGGCACAGTTTGTTTGTCACAGGATTTAAGGAGACAACCGAAGTTTGCCGTGCTGAATCCAGAGGTTTTCCTTCAGAGAATGCTGTGTGACAATCTCAACAGGCGGGAGTATTGACCACAATGAGAATACAGGGGACGTTAGTTGTACGGACAATAATGTTGGAGTGATAATTAGTTCCAACATCAATGACCGCACACTAAAGTCTTTTTAAATTCCTACCGCCTGTATTGTGGTCTACTCTGTATGCTGTTTGACGATGTATGCTGTGTCGCTGTTTTCAGAACCCGATTTCAACCTTGGTGTGGGTTCCTGAGCTAGTCTGTGCAGTTGTGGATGTAATGATAAATAAGGTTACATCCTAACTAGGACGGGCAAGCTTTGGAATCTGCAATTGGTTATTGGTTTCTCGATTAATTTCTGTGGTTAGCATCGGCGCAATGAATGTATAAATGAACTGGGAAAAGAAAGGAACGGAACTCCCAAACAGTACAATGTGGCGACACCTATACATACGAACAAAAAAAAACCGTAACTGAATGTGCATGCGCATGCGCTGGATGTAACAAACATCCAGCTTTGCTTAAAATGTTTAAAGTTGCAAAGGAAGAGTATAATTAAAAGTACTTCTATATTCCTTTAGAAATACGTAACAGTGTTGAATTGCATTTTTCAATAACATTTTTTAGTTGCCAATACAGAATTTCCTGTTAAATTTGTTACAAATTCCGTCCTTGAACTTCTGAAAAATTATATGTACTGTTTAACATTTTTCGATTATGCAGCGCAAACTGTTTTTTCTTCTTAAACTAGAAAAAACAAGGCGTAGTACTCCAGATGCACTAAATAAATACGTTGTATATGTACATTCAAATTGTAGGGTTCCCTTTTCATTTACCTATAAAGCATGTATAGTTGGTACTGGTATTAATGAATAATGTATAATGAATAATCCCAGTGTATAAATGAAGTGGGAAAAGAAAGGAACGGAACTCCCAAACAGTACAATGAGGCGACACCTATACATACGATCGAAAAAAACCGTAACTGAATTTGCATGCGCATGCGCTGGACATACATCCAGCTTTGCTTAAAATGTTTACAGCAGTTGCAAAGGAAGAGTATAATTAAAAGTACTTCTATATTCCTATAGAAAAACGTGGAAGAAATGGTCTGGGGACGAAAGTGGAATCATTTGGAATCCGAGTACTGTGGGTTCCGGAAAACAAGGAGTGGGATAGTTTCCCGAGATGCTTCTGAAGAAGATTTTGAACTCATTCCAATATTAATTGCAATAACCATTTTGGATGGAGGCGCGTACTGGCAAAGGTATTTGCAAAATGAGGGCATGCCCCTGCAAAAACTGCAGAAAATATGGAATACCGATCCAAAGGAACGAAATGAACGTTTTGGAACGCCATGTATGTGAATATGTGAATGTACAATTCATGGTCTTCTTTTTCCTGTTTACAACTGATTATTGTATCATGTGCTTCATTTTCATATATCAGGTTGTGTGCCGATCAATTGGGTCAGCAAAACTGCCGAGTACGTTCTGTTCCCTAATGAAAGCACGTACAATGAAGCAATAACGGATTTCAACTTCTTCAAGAGGTTTCCAATCGCTGATCCCCGCTTGATGGACGAGTACCGAATTGGTAACATTTGGTGTGAAGGAAACTTGGGTAAATTCTTTGTTTTCTGAGTTGGTTATTCATACAGCATGTGTTTAGCGTACTTTTATTGGCTATATTTATAGCCAAAAGTGTAGGCGGTACGTTACGCGTACGTTACGGGTACGTTACGGCATGGATACTTACGCCTCTATTCAGGCATAAGTATATACGTGCCGTCAAATACGTTCCGTAAATTATGGGGCTGTGTATCAGTGTTTAAATTTCCAAATGCAAAATTTTAATGTTATGTTTTAGTGTTTACAATCTCATGATACATTTCTAACATCTTAAAATAGGTTTTCATCCAACGGTTTTAACAAGGAACCAGTCTTCCCATAAAAAAGAAGGCTATATATCTCCTGGATTTGGTGCTATACAAGATTCAGGCGGGATGAAGATGAGGAGGATTATTAAGAAGCCCAAGAAACTGTCGGAAACAATTGATCAGTGTCATGATGCGGACTGTGACGATGATGATGATGAAAACCGAAATCCAGGTGGTGACAATAACAAGAATAAGAAGCGGAAAATAACAACAAATAAGATTCTAGGTAAATATATAGCTACATACATAATTCAATAATTTCCACTAAATTATCTGTTATCAAAGAAATTATGTTAGATGCATATATAGAATGTGTCATTATTTTAACCGCTGATAGGTGAAAGAGATGAGAACCTGATCAATTGTGATGAACACGTACTCTACACAGCATTGGATAAGAAGGTTAGCAGGCTACATGCAATACCTGAAGAATCGATGGAATCGATGACTGAAATGAGTAAGAAAATACGTACCCTTTCCTTGCGATACATTCTTTTTTATATTTTTCTATACAATGTTTGATAATTTCCACATGTTTTTACAAAGGAACCACACAAACTGGACTGGAAGAGGATACTGCGCCGGATGCATCCAAAAAAGCAAATGAAGGTAGTCTTCCATGCTCCAACGGTTTCCTGAACCTAACTCCCCTTCAAGCATGCAGGAGAAAAGAAGTTCGAGTGATGCTAGAAGACAACTCAGCAGCAGCAAGGGCCCTCATAGGACCTCAGGATAGGAGTGAAGCGTCCGAATTGAGTTATGCATCTGATGTTCGACAAGCAATAATTCTTTCAAGTAAGAGAAGACTGCAGACTGCAGAATTTTATTTTATAAGTAAATTGAATACGCTTCATTATTAACAGATGGATATGCAGAAAGTGGGTACGCAACGACATACAACAATAATCATCAGCAGCAGGCAGTACATCATCAGACAATGGAATATCCAACAGCACAGGAAATGTCACTGCCCCAACGTATGTTGAAATGTAACTTATTTAATTATGTCCATTCATCATGTATTTAACTATTGTTCATTGCAGCTTACGTTAATGATCAACTGATGGGTGGAATTCGGTCATTGATACAAGATGCCGTACAGGAAGGCATACAAAAAGGAATTCAGGAAGGCATACAAAAAGGAATTCAGGAAATGAATGGCATACAGGAAGATATACACAAAGGAATTCAGGAACTGACGCTACGATTTGAGCAGTTTCTGGGAGATATGCATGTGCAACTGGATCAGACATGCAGCAGAACTTCTGTCATGAACATTCCAACCAGAAAAGGTATGGGGTTGAAATAAAGAAAAGAACAATAACTTTTCTTAACTTTCTCATAGTAATTTTATGTATAAATGATTAAGGAATGAACATTAGAAAACAATCACGTTATTGAACATGTGTAATTTATTATTTCAGAATGTGAAGATCCTTCGAGCTTAGGCATTTCTTGGCCTATCAAGACGAGGAAGGAGCTGATTGAAGTTGATCACGTTTTGTCTAACGAAACAATGCGTGTTAAATTGGTATAACGGTTGAATGCAATAATTTAATGTTAGAAAATTAATGAAATGAATATCCTTATTATCCATTGCAGTTGATTTGGGTGAAGGGGCTGAAGGAAGAAGGGACGAAAAGTAAGAAAGCGCAAGCAATTTACTACCTCATGGGAAGAATGTTCTATCAAAGGATGTTACTTCAAGTTTATGCTGCCAACAGGAAAGTGAATGCAAGTGAAGAAAAAGGTTTGTAGACTTATTCAATACGTATAGTAAGATATTGGTATAGAAAACAACTGATCATGTAACCCCTGCTGCTGTGTCTCTAACAGATGATGACGTAGATGGCGACGAAATAGATGAAGATGATGCTGAATTTCTGGATCATGATGACGCGCCTCTGAACATGAAGTTGCGCCTGGAGAAGGAAAACTTGAGAATAGTAAGAATTATTTGTATGTGTGTGAACTTTGATTCTATGAACATCATAATAACAAACAATCTTGTAATTCCAGCCTTTGAACAAACTCAAGGGCATCATGGCTTTCTTCATGCACTACGCAGCTGCTGTAAGGGACAACGACAGCAGTTCTGCCGATAAAGGAAGAGAAAACGGTGCTTCAATGGTATCTGAAGAATGCATAAAGTGAGTGTACCTAAACTTGCTGAAAAAAGTAAACGACATTAATGATGAAACATGTTACTTATGTGTACAGGTCACGAATCAACCTAGCCATAAGGAAACTGAGAAGAGACGAGAGGAAGAAAAGAAATTTGGAACGAAAGAAGAAGGACCCAACCTTCAAGAAACCCGTCTACCCTTCTTCAATAGGATCTGAGAAATTGGTTTTTTCGTGCGCGACAGATACAGAAGTAGAAACGGAAATTATGAAGTGGTACTCCAGGAACGAAAGAAGAAGGACCCAACCTTCAAGAAACCCGTCTACCCTTCTTCAATAGGATCTGAGAAATTGGTTTTTTCGTGCGCGACAGATACAGAAGTAGAAACGGAAATTATGAAGTGGTACTCCGATAATGGAGATAAGAAGGATATGAAAAGATAACGGTTAAGAGTGAAGTACGCAACCCTTATTCACAAAAAGTAACTATTACTCCTTCCGTAATTACTCGTTCCGTAGGATAGGGGTGTCAACGGATCTGAGAATCGTATCGTACGGCGTATCGTACGCCTTTTGAATGTACGCTTTTTTTATATTTTGAATGTATGACGTTATGTATACTGTACGGTTTCGTAATAAACGGAAATCAAAACAAACTCCTTCAATGACTCCTTTAATATACACCATGCCATCCCCCCATTAATTATGAATAATTAGGGCCTAATTAACGTTAATTACATCCGGGTAATGACCTTCTAACCTGACTAGTCGCCGGATGAGTCCGGCGACTAGTCAACTGATCACATCAGGAACTGGAGCGCAAGTGTACCTCCGTCGTACGCTGCAGCAGTCCTGACCATCATCTGACGCACCAGCCATAGTCAACTGATCACATCAGGAACTGGAGCGCAAGTGTACCTCCGTCGTACGCTGCAGCAGTCATGACCATCATCTGACGCACCAGCCGACGATATTGCGAAGGAATACACATGCGTCACACAAACCGTCGACTCGACGCACCCCCGACGCGCCACGAAAACTACATTACGGGCGTCAGCATTATGCGCGTACTTTGACGCGCCAAGTAACCGTCGTCGATGCGTCGGCTCACGCTCAAATTATCTGCTGGGTAGGGGCTGTAATGTTGCTCAGTAATCACTGTGTCACTTGCAGCCCTCAAGCCATACTGTGTATTTCTACCAGTTGGGAAATTTGAAGTTCTTGCAAGAAGGGATATGAGAAGTTTCAGAGAGACACACCTTAAGTTTCTACAAGGAAGGGATATGTGAAGTTTCTACAAGAAGAGATGGATGAAGTTTCTACCAGAAGAGAGAGCAGAAGTTTCTACAAGAAGAGATAAGTGAAGTTTCTACCAGAGAGAGACCATAAGTTTCTACAAGAATAGATATTTGAAGTTTCTACAAGAAGAGATGTGTGAAGTTTCTACAAGAAGAGATATGTGAAGTATCTGCCAGAGGAGAGACCAGAAGTTTCTACAGGACGAGATAACTGAAGTTTCTACCAGAAGAGAGACCAGAAGTTTCTACAAGAAGAGATATGTGAAGTTTCTACAAGAAGAGATATGTGAATTTTCTGCCAGAAGAGAGACCAGAAGTTTCTACATCAAGAAGGGATATCAAGTTGCTACAAGAAGGGATTTGTGAAGTTTCCACAAGAAGGGATTTGTGAAGTTTCCACAAGAAGGGATTTGTGAAGTTCTTACACAAAGGGACATGTGTAATTTCTACAAACAGAAATATGCTGAGCATTTTCTACCAGAAGATAAGACTGAAGTTTCTACAAAATGGTGTATCTAGTTTCTACAAGAAAGGATGTTTTGTGAAGTTTCAGAAGAGATGTTACAAAGTGTTTCACCTCAGTGTCAGCATGAGGAAGACATCTCAAATGCTGAAAGTGATGATGAAGTGTCAATTGCAGAAGAGAAAACAACTTCTGCACAAGCCTTCAAAGGATTACAAGAAGTGAAAAATTACTTATTATCTTCAGAAGAAGGAAATGAGCATGTTTTCAGCTGCTGAAGCAAGTGGAAGATGTCTTAGTGAAGTATTCTATTCTATAATAATAAAGTTGCTTGGAGTCCTGCGTACGCACCAACTTTCAGCAGGTTTTGGCCCCAAAAAAAAAAAAAACTTATGGAGCAGGGAATCAGTCACGGAGGTACCCGGTTCAATCCCACCTCTAGGCAGATTTTTTTTAGAAATCGTTTCCTTTGTTTATTCATAACTTACTCAATTTTTAACTTCTTTCAGCCAAAAAAAATTCACAATTAGCAGAATTTGATCAAGCATCCAACACAAATTTTAAAATTGAAATTGCTCCAAAAAATGAAATATTATGATGAGTTAAACTTGAAAGTTAAAAACTTTTTGTTTTCCAACCTTCTCAATACACAAATTCACCATATGATTTCTGCTCAACAAAACTCAACCTTTTTTATAGGGTGAATGTGCAATGAAGTTCTGCACAATTCCTCATTTCCTACTTTGAAAAATTCCAAAAATTGACTGAGATATAAGCAAAAATGTGGACCTTTTCCCAAAAATTGAGTGAAAAACAGGAAAAATTCCTTTCAACATCTTAATGATGAAAACAAAAACCACATGCCATTGCAAATACAGCTGCACAAAATTTTTGAATTTCAGCAAAATGAAAAAATCAATTTTTAACTTCTTCCAGGCAAAACATTTCCAAATTTCAAGAATTTCACTTAGTATCTATAATGATGATTTCAGAATTGAAAGTGCTTCAATACAAAAAAAGTTATGATTTAAGCATAACACTTGGAATTTGAATGTTTACCCCAAAATTTCTGTTCTACCAAATTGAAACTTTTTTACAGCATAGGCCATAAATTTTTTCCTATTTCATTTCCAACATTAAAATAACCTAATTTTGTACTGTTATTGCACATGCAGCTGGACTAAAATTGTCAAAAATTGAGGGGGGGGGGGCAAACTAATATTTTGGCTGAAAGTGTTGTAGGCTGAAAATGTTAGTCATTCACAATTATTGAAATCAAAAATATTGAACCAGTGGCCTGTGTACCAGTTCACTATTACATCTGCCACACACATGTATGGGTTCAAGGGTTAGCTTCTGTGGAGTCCCCACCCTCTGTTCCTCAGGGGAAGGGGGAGGGGGCTTCCTGGGAAGGAGTTTAGGAGGTGGAAGGGGAAGGATCACCACAAACAAAACTTTTAAAATGCCTCAGTTGTCAATTTTTTTGGTACCTTACAGGCAAGCAGGGTGACCACAACCAAACATGGGCCATGTGTATATAACTGAGCAACTCAAAACCCAAAATAATTAATCTTTAGGTGATGTGGGAATCCAGAAAATGCTCAAAATTTTTGTTCACAATTACTTTTTTCATTTTGTGCACATTACACAATGCTAAATATAGGCTATTATACAGAGTCATTTATTGGGCTATTTTTAGGCATTTTGCATTTTAGGGCTTTACACTCAGGTGTGACTGTGCACCACAATAACTTGGGTTTTTAATAAGGAATAAAACTCCCTTTCTTATGTGCATTGAGCACGAATGCAAAATTGCCAGTGGTTCATTAACAATACATATCCAGCTTTAGTATCATTCATTTATCAAAATTTAATGCACAGAGGTGTGACTGGGCCACACAACTGGGCATTCTTTCTTCGATGTGTGATCTGATCAAAATTTTCACAACTAAAATGTGTCCAATGCCCAGGGTAGGGTAGGATTTAGTGTAGTGTAGGTTTTAGTTAAGGGTAGGTTGTAGTGTAGGGTAGGTTGTAGTGTAGGGTAGGTTGTTGTGTAGGGTATGTTGTAGTGTAGGGTAGGTTGTTGTGTAGGGTAGGTTGTAGTGTAGGGTAGGTTGTAGTTTAGGGTAGGTGGATGGCAATGGTACAGTAGTCTGTTGGGTATTTTACTCATATTACCACACATTGCCCTGGTGTGGCTGGGCATCCTCCCCTAGTGTGGTGAATAAAAGTGTACAAAGTAAATTCACTGATTATTTCAAGCAATAAAATGCTTTTAAAGAGGGTGAAGTGTTTTTTCTGTAACAAAATCAAGTAATTGCATTCCAACAAATTTTTTGTTATAACAAATTTTTTCTCTGGTCTCCAGCAGTTCATTGTAATGAGATTTTACTGTAATAGTATTATATATGCTGTAATATGCACCATTCAGAGGGTGGGCCAAAAAAGTGAAACAGCAGTTTTTTGAATTAAAATAACATTTTAGCAAATTGAGGTGTGGGCTGTGGGAATGAAAAAAGTCCCAAATTAAATCTGGTTCAATTCTCTTTCAAATGGTATGCAGTTCTGTGGTCAGAGTTCCACAGAACAGTCACAAGAACCATTTGAATGAAAACTTTCTTGAAAAAGAAACATGCCATTCTCAAGAGCTATTTACACCATGAAAGGAATTGCAGGAAGCAATAATTTCACCAGAAAGCTGTATGCTGTTTTGGGGAGCCTGCACATTTTCCCAGAATGCAGACAGAGGGGTGAACAAGGGGGAAGGAAATTGGCAAGATGGGATGCTGAGGGTCTCCTGCGTGAGTGGACTTCTGGCCTTGCGGCTCCTGATGACGGGCAGAAACTGCATGCACTTTTTTTCTGGATTGCTCAAAATCAGTTAATTTAAAATAATTTTAACATAAAGTGAGTTTCAGCAATCCATTCATCTGGAAAAATAAATGTACGTGCTGTGACCCCTGTGGGTCACTGGGAGCCATGAGACCAGCACCAGCAGGAGCACGCGTGCACAACAGCTAGGAGATATGTAGCATCCCATCCCATCTTGCCAATTTCCTTCCTCATTCTCACCCCCTCCTTCTGAAGTTCGGGAAAATGTGCAGGCTCTCCAATACAGCATGAAAATTTCTGGTTGAATTACTGCATCCTGCAATTCCTTTATTCCTGCAAGCAGCTCAGTGGAAAAAGTCACCTGACAAGTTTTTTGGAAATTTTTCATTTAAATGGATCTTGTGACCATTCTGTGGCACTTTAACCATAAAACTACATACCATTTGAAAGAGAACTGAAGGAGCTTTCATTTGGCCTTTTTTTCATCGCTACGGTGCTTTTTCCAGTCAAACATCTGCTGTTATATTCTTTGGTCCACTGTGTATATATACGGAAAATGTAAGATGCTACACAAAACTAGATTAAATTCATTCCAGGATGGATCGCCAATCTCGCAGTTCATCAGTTTTTCAGAAGTATTTCTAATTTTATATTCATCCCCATTTTCAGGCATAAATAATATTTACAGTAGCTATGTATTAATATAACCTATTCAATTACTTCTATAATGGGAAATTTAAGCATGCGCTGCTGCTGACTTAATGTAACAATTTGTTACATTTTTGGAGGAATTATTCCTAATTCAAAAAAAACTGCATGAGAATCAATTAAATATACAGTACAGTACAGTATGTATATTCCTATATTGAAGTCTATACCAAAAAACATGATCCAACATATGTGGGTGCTCCAATATATTAAGGAAGAATGATCCAAACACCAACATGGACATATATATATATATAGCGTACACATCTTATT